GGGAAAACTTTCTAGTTATTTGCTTAAAAAAAAACCTCCTGAAATAATGCACTATAATGTAATGGGCTACTAGATGCAAATAGAGCCCAGTTGTGTACATATTTATAATAAGAACAGCATGACATTGTGATTTTTTAAACTGTCATAATGCAGAATGTGTATTACTGTACAGTTAATCACTTTACTTTATTGATTAGCCCTTGGGCCATATCAAAGTGTAGAGTTCCAGACATAAATTATTACTAAAATCTTTTAAATATATTACTATGCAGTAAAACAGAAGTATNGTTATAGTCATAAGTGGGAGGAGATAGGTAATAGGAAGGATGAGAAGAATAGTAATACAGTCTTAGTAAATAGTTTGACAGTGTTGTGGGAATTAGTTCTTTAGCAGAGTGATGGCATTCGGGGGGAAAACTGCACTATTCTGCACTAGCCAGACTTAATCTAGAATCCAATGCTAGTACAAGATGTTGGGTTTTTGGAAATCTTCCAGAAGATTTTAGTTGACTTTCAGGCCAATGTGCATGACTACAAAAACAGTCTCACTCTGACAATACAAGCGTTTGCAGGACATGGAAAGTTTTTCTCTTACAGGATGTTTCTAAAAGAGACAGGACAGCCAACTATTGGATGGGTATGGAGCAGACATTTTACCTTAATAATTACTATGATTTTCCCACTTCTTTCTATGCACTGTCAACAGGGAAAGCAGAAATCAATGGTAAAGGCAAAATAAAAGAGATTTTATGAATAAAAGTTGTGGTGTTCAGTTGAAGTAAAGGGAAAAAAATAAAAGCTGTCCTGTCTTATGGCTCACAGACTGATAGAATTGACAGAATCTTTCACGTTATTTCTCTACATTATACTTGGATATTGTTCTTACTTTAAAATAAAGAAAGAGTGCTGGTTTACTACCTGTAGTTTTTTAAAAGTACTTATTCACCTGTAGTTCAGATTGTTCTCAAGTCAGTTCTGTCAGTTGTGTGCAACAGTTTAAATATAGCCCAAATATTCTTTTTACTAGAGCTTGGAGATCTATTATGGAACAGGACCATCTACCACAAGGTGGAAAATACTAAGCGAAATTATAGATCGTGCTAAAGAATAATCACGAAGACTTCATGCCTCCATATTTATTATCCAGGCCTTTTAGGTTCTGATGGAGTCAATCAGAAGCACTGTTACAACAGATTTAGTAAACTGCTACTTTTTAAGGATGAGGGAGAATGCACTTGTGTAGTTAACCTAGACATGCTGATAAATTATAAGGTTTGCATGAAGAAGATCTCAGGTTCAGTGCCTGGCATATTAGTTTAAAAGAATCAGATTGCAAATATTTGGAAAAGTCCCAGCTGGACGTGATGGATAGCTGCTGTTAAAGTAAATTCTGGCCTAGATGGAAAATGATTGGAGTAATTTTAGTAATACTCTTTGTATTTCAGGAAAAAATTGGGAGAGCAAGAATTTATTTCATTTCAGGGCAATTCCATTTATTTGTCCTTTAATGGTCCTTTCAGCTATGCATTTATACTCAGGTAACTTTTAAGTCTGTCTAATCTAATATGGAAAATAATTCTATTTTATCTCCAGCAAGAGCAATTAACAGTCTATATTGCCTGCAATTCTTCAGAGATTATTCACATTTTTATCCCCCTTGCTCATCATTTTAGGATATTTTAACTTTCTTTGACCATTGCATTCATATCTTATTTCTTAAGAAAAGACCACAGTCTCAGATTGTATGTTGATTTCTAATTGGCCATTTCCTTATGAAGAGGTCTCCAAACTTGGCAAGTTTAAGACTTGTGGACTTCAACTCCCAGAATTCCCCAGCCAGGGGAAGTTTGTCAAGCAAATTGTTGATTTTGGAGACCCCTGTCCATATATAATAGACCCTGCAATAGAAAGAGGACCTTCTGTGGAGAGGTTAGAGTTAGGTTTACTGTTACCTCATAAGTATGTTTTCATGCTCATCTCCCACACTTCCTCCTATGATATTAAATTAATGTTGACCTTCAAAACTCCCACTCATCATGTTTGAATCAAGATAACTGACTATATGCATCTCAGTTAAAGACAATTCAAGTAGGTTGTTGCTAAATTGGTAAACACTGGAAACTATATCAGTCAATGTTTGAACACAAATTATAAGACATTTAGCTCACTATCACCTAGTGCTACTTTAAGCTCTGCCAAGAGTTCATCACCTCTGGGATACATTTGATCATTATTCACTGTACATCAGATCCCTTCCCACACAAGCACATATTACAATATCACAAACTATTTTTGAAATTTCCCATTTGGGAAGGAGTCTGAAAAGTACCAGCCAAAGCATAGTTGTCAAGTTATTCAATCCTAGTCCTCAACTAACCTACATTGAGCTGCAGTGGCACAGTGGTTAGAATGCAGTACTGCAGGCTACTTCTGCTGACAGCTGCCTGCTCCAACACTGGAAGTTTTTAAGAAGATGTTGGATAACCATTTGTCTGAAATGGCGTAGGTTGGACTAGAAGACCTCCAAGGTCCCTTCCAACTCTGTTATTCTATCCTAAATGTGCATTTACTTTTAGATTACTTTTTGGTACAAAATGTAGTTTTAAAAGGCTTTTGAAATAGCGGGGAGGACAAACACAAATGCAAACACAATCATGATTTTATTTTCCTACAAAATGGGAAACTGTCGTGCTCTTAAAGAGGAGAACAATTAATGTCTTTCTTTAATTGAGTGGTTGCACATTTTGTAAATGTTCATTTAATTATCTATGTTTGTAGAAAATTAGAAAAATACTGCCCTAAGCAAATATTATACATTCAAGGCAGCAGAAGCAAATTCAATTTTATTTCCACTATATAATCATGAAGATGCTTTGTTTTAGTTAAATGTAAATGGAAGAATGGATGGATGGCAACTAGCATGCTTTGTTGGGGGATTGTTCTCTTCGTGGGAATTTAAAAGCCTTTGTACAAGTTGTATAATTGGAAGAAATATATCAGTTCCGTGCTTTAATTTTGTGTAAATGTCTGTATCCTGAAAATTTATTGACAGATGTTTTAAGAGTCCACTACTTTACAATTTTCATTAATAAGCAATTATTATCTCCATCACCCCATTCTCTCTTTCTCTGCCATTCATATATCTGATGGAATAGCAATAGTTTCCTTTGCTAACACTTTGGGGCCACATTTTATTTAAGTGCCATAAACAAAGCAATCTATCATACACTATGTAAATCCTTTCCAATTAATCTGATCTTGCATTCAATCCATATGGGCAATCTGGTTCTTGTTTGTAGATACAACTGAGTATAGTAGACATAAGATATTTGGATAGTGAAGAGGTGTATTTCATAGATGTTTGCAAAACTGGCATGATATTGGTATCATAATTCTACATCAATATATATTTTCCTGTATATATCATAATTTGCCCCAATTTGATTATCCAAGAATAAAAACCATTTAGGCTGAAAGAGAGTACTATTTCTTATTTGGATTAGCTAGGAAAAAATGTGATAGATGAGAATCAAAAATTAAAATAGAAATGTTTCAATGTAGGTATGTATGTATTCATTGATTTGATTGATATAGGCAACCAACTTTTCAAAGTTACTCTGGGTGTTTCACAATGGGATAGAAGAACAAAAAACCCAGAGGAATTAAAACAAAGTTCAGCACACACCTGCAACCAAAAAATACAGTAATAGAATAACAGAATAACATTGATAAATAATTTATTTTTAAATATTTCATTTATTTTTTCATTTATATTTTATTTGTATGCCGCCCTTTTCCCTGAGGGGACTCAGGGTGGCTCACAGTTGAAGGGGGGGGGGAAATCAGACAAGTTACAAACATAGAGTCATACACCATTAAAAACACAACAGTCACACCATTCGAGTGGGGTTACAAGTCGTTAGCCCCAGGCCTGTTGGNTGCCTAAGCAGGGGGTTGGACTAGAAGATCTTCAAAGTCCCTTCCAACTCTGTTATTCTATTTTATTCTATTCTTCTAAAGAACAGTTGATGTTTATTACACAGTAATTTGGGATATGTGGGAAACTGAGCATATTAACTCACATAAACACGTACTTGGACTGATTAGTCTTATTACTCTGCATGAAAAGTACCAATCCTTCAGATCTGGATGACATTGTGACACCTGTGTGACAACTGCCTCCATGCCATGTTTCTAAAGAATGTATGGATGGACAATCATCTGAAAGTACACAAATGCTGTGCTGCTTTACTGCCGTGCTTCTTAATTTTTGTAAAAAAAATGGTTTTTGAGTCCCCTTCATTAATGTACCATCCTTTTGCCTTCTTATTCACAAATAAGAATTGTCCATCATTTTTGACTGAAGAAGAAAATAAGTATCACTTCCGTTGAGTTCTTTGTTGCGAGCAGTGTCATTGAAGCCACCCATAATCCCCTGTCCCAGAAGATGAGCACTCTACGTTCCTCAAGTTAAGGGAAGCATTCCGAGGTTTGAACTATCTATCCATCAAAGCACTAAAAATAGTCAAGTAGCATTGCGTATTCCTGATCAGGCTGTCTGTCTGGACTATAGTGCCACAGGGGTGGGGGTGCAATGGCAATTCTCTATTGACTGATCTCTCATCTCTAAAAGCCCTTTGATAGCTTGGCAAGATGTTTGATTCCCCATGTCGTATGTGGATCTACATGGTCTGAAATTAGAAAGTTATAACTGATCTCCTCAGCCACATGAAATGCAGCGGAGATTCCTTCCTAAAGCCGAGGGGGGCAGTGGCTTCAAACAACAGATGTAAGCTGAGCTCCCATAACTGTCAATTTTCAGAGGGTTTACATTGATAGGAGAGGAGGTGCTTCTCTGATTGATATTTTAAGGCTGTATATAAAATGGAAAAATTCTTCTCGCTCTCTGCTTGTCGTACTAGCCTGCATTTGTATCTGGGGGCTCAATGATTCCTTGCTGTTGTATTTGCACATACTGGGAATAAAGACAACCTGAAACAATGCCAGAACCCACTAAAACAGCTGGTAAGTTTAACTGTTTTTTTTTAATACATGCATATATCACATTGAAATTCAGAAATGCACATTTTCAAACCAGCTTGCAAATGAAGAGAAATCAGAGAAGGCAAACTGTATTGGTGCTATATCGAATTTCTGTTCATGGACATCTGCTAATGTACGCCATTAGTGTGAAACTAAAACAACTTACATGATTATTTAACCACATTTGAACAGCTTTGTAAATAAAGATTAGAAAGCTCCGTCTAACTGGAAAATTATGATTTGGGTTGTGTGCAGTTGAATTATTATTCTATTATTACTATTTTTATGATTGTACTTAATTTTTATGAAAGCATACTATCCTAACATATGTAGATCTGGAAATTTAAGAGGATAATTTGTTTGTATTATCTTTACAAACTCCATTGATTTTTATCTAAATAAATAAATAAACAAACAAATAAATAAATAAATAAATCATAGTTTATGTTTATAGCATAGATGATATAGATATAATGAATGAAAGCACAGTCTTTGTAAGTTATGCATTAAATTTCAAGGGTGTTACTTTTGCTCCTTGCCTGAGATTTGGAGAAGCACCTTATTTCTTTACAACAAAACCTTTACAAAGACTTTCAGAACACATTTATGAACATTTAGTCAAGCACTGCACAGAGACTGGGCAGATTGTCTAGTTGTTTCTTAACAGGTAGCTCTTGAGGTTCCTCAACTTTCAATGTCAGAAGTTCCCAATTGCCCAACTATTGAGTCTTTCCTCTTATACAGTACTCCTATAGCTCCAGACCAAGACTCCTTTGCTTTGTACTATTCTTTTAGGACTACTTAGAAGATCACATACAGGCTAGTTCTGTGCAGGATTAGAAAAAAATTGGAACCACTATAGACTTATTTGGAATTTTAAGGGGCTGCTGTCGGCGCTCTGGAAAAATGGTTGCACGGCATTTACAAAATGGCTGACAAAAAGAGTTGGGTCATTCAAAAGCATCTCTTTACAAGGTTGTGAAATACTGACATTGCTGTTCACCCCCACCACTTGAATGCCCTGTACGACCTTTGGCTTCTTTTTACATGCAGGTCAAATAAAGGACTATCTACTGGCCACCCACCATTCCATTTTTAAACAATGCCTCAGAAGCCAGTGTGCAGAGGTATTCTTAGAAGTAAAGATGAGCCTGATTGTTGGCACCTTGTTTTGTCACATGTCACATTACTTTTTTCTAAAGCTAAAATAATAAAAGTTTGGAGTCAGAAGTGGAATAGGTTGCCAAGGGTAACTGCAAGTACAATGTACCCACAGGTCTTCTAATGCTTTTCAATGTTGTGTATATTCTTTCTGGGAACAAAGTTGATTTTGAAACTATTAAGTCGAATGGGATTACTGTCAAATTGGATGGGAAAGGTTGGGAACTTCAATTCTCCCTGAACAAAAGCAGCCTACTTCCTTCCTTTTCACTACCATAGATTTACACTGTACAACAGCTTTAGTGCCATGCTCTTAGGAGAAATATGAAGAAGAAAAAAACCACAATCCTTTATGTAAGACCTAATATAGGTGTTATTCAAAAATACCTCCTGTGTGACAAATACACCCTTTTTAATCTAGGAAGATGAAAATGATATTTTCATGGGTAATTTCCATGTGTGAAAGCACCATCATTATTGCTCTCTGGATTGAGAGAACATCTGAAAAAAGATGTGTTTCAGGTTATTCTGTTTTGTTTTGCTTCATACTGTGAACATAATTCCCTTCCATTCTAGGGATGTGGAAATACTCTCTGGACATATTAGATAGTGCCACAGTGGGGATTACACCTTGTCTGTGAGTCTGTGACAGGGATCTTCTAAGTGTTTTATGAAGTGTGCTTTAAATGACGTCCTTATACAGCTAGTGTGATTGACACCTCACCATCTTGTATTTCATCTCTCCCTCTCTCTCTCTCTTTGCATTCTATGCTGATAATATGAGTTAATTTATGAGGGGAGGTATGCATTTGATGACATATTTTGATTGGAGTGGTGGATTGAATGTGTACTTTTTTCCAAAATCTTTTTAGTTGTGATTTCAGTTGTGACAAGCTAAAATCTATCATGTGGTCTCTGATTTAATGGAGGGCCATGAGGTTTGAGCTATTTGTTTTGAGCATTTATAGTTAACTTTCTGAATGTGGTTGAAGCTACTGATTATCATGGACGTTGGCATTGTGATACAATCTGCTGATTTTGTATTGTCTGTATAATCTGAAGTAGTAAACACTACAAAGTTCCTACCTGGCGAATTTTAAGTTTGGGATTTATATTGTTATTTTATTCTGTTACATTCATAAAGAAAGGGTATATTCTCTCTCTCTCTCTTTGTCTCTCTCATTCTCTCTCTCAATATACAACAGTTAATTACTAATAATTTCTAAGATTCTTATATGGTCAGACCATTTTAAACNTCAAGCTTTAAATCATGACATTTATTCAAGCCTTTTCAGACCCCCTGTGATGACATCTTGGGGCCCCAGGAGTCCGCATAGCACAGGTTGAGAACCACTGAAATGAGCTACTAAAGTGGTTTGCTAGAGTTCAGGGGCCTTGGTATTTTGGACATTGTGATTCAGGTACTTCTTTTATTCCTTCAAGTTAAAATACAATTTGAACATATCAGCAGGAAGCTTGCACTAAAAAGAGGCAAAGCATCATGGAGATTAAAAATATCAGGCACCTAGGCCGCAAAATGTCTTTTACATTCTATGGATGAGGCAGTTGCTCCATTGGATAAAATAAAGTTGCTGTAGCCTCATGAAGAGCATATGCTTTGTCTGCCTTCAAGGTCAAGCCTCAGCTTCTCAGGAATTAAGTTTCAGGCTATCTCCCAGGGCTCCCCTGTCATGGATGGATTTTGAAAGAAATTGTTACTTGTTTGTATATTTTGCCACAATTTCATGCAGTTCCAAGCTGATACTGATTTTGAGCAGCTGGCCTGTAGCCAGGCACTCCAAGGAAAGGATAGCACCATTAGACTGCTCCACTAGACATGGCATGAGACTGAATGCTCTTAACTCTGCACCCATGGTTAATGCACATCGCCTGGATTTATTCTCTGTCCGGTAGACAGTGCTATTTTCCCCCTGCTGTGCTGCTGTTGATATTTTTAATCAGGAAATGTCAGAGAGACTCCTCCTGGAATCTTCTATATGCTCTTTGCCATGGAAAGATATTTTCCCTTTGTGTGATCAGCTTAGCTCGGGCAGCAAGTCAAGGTGCACAACTTTTCCTCAAAATAATACTGCGCTCAAAATAGTTGTGCAAAGTCACGTGTGTTGATCTCAGATATTTTCCCAGCCCACAGTGTTTTTCTTTGTTGGCGTTTCTGGAGAGTCAGTCTCGGTTGGGCAAAGTTTGAGAAGGTTTGAATTCTCCGGGCAAATGTTTTCTTTCCCTCCGTTCTGTGGCTTCTTTTGTTAGCATCCTAGGAATACTGTGGGGACATGTGCTTTTAGCCAAGAATAGCCTTGTAAAGTTCAACAGAAATAGAGAGAGGGACTTTTAAAGTGTGTATCAAATTTCTACAATGTCAAGCCAAGCACTCCGTGAAGTTCTGGACACCACTATCACTTTCCTCAAGACTGGCTTGGCGCTGAACTTCAGAAAGAAAAGATAATTTTAGCAAAAAGCACATAATTTAGGGGAATGTCCCTGATGAATATTTTCCAGAAGACATGGCCCGGAGCCTGCAATTTCATTTTTTTTCTATCTTGGCATTTTAGTTTTCTGAAAGTAACCAAGGAAGAGGAGGGCACTTGCATTTAATCATGTCATAATCCTATTTTGAAAAATCTGCTTTATAGATTTATAACTTTACAGAATAATTTATTCACTTTTGGGGGGAAATGTTTTGAAACAAAGTAGTTTTTTTTTTAATGAAATATTCTATATATTAAATAGAATAAAGGAATTTTGGTGCAGTGGTTAAAGCATCAGGCTAGAGCCCAGGAGACAATGAGTTCTAATCCTGTCTTAGACACGAAGTCAGCAGGGTGATTCTGAGCCAGTCACTTTCTCTCAGCCCAAGCCAGGAAAAGGCATCTGTTGCTGTGGCCTAGAGTTGGAGATCTCGCCTCACAATCAGGAGGTTGTGAGTTCGATCCTAGGTACAGGCAGATGTAGGGTCTCCTGTTTGGGCAGGGGCTTGGACTAGATGACCTGCAAGGTCCCTTTCCAACTCTGTTAATCTGTTTAAGGAGGCAATGTCTAAATACTTCTGAAAAACTTTGCCAAGAAAACTGCAGATACTTGACATGATTGAATTGAAAAATTCATATATACTGATGTCCTAGGCAACAGCCTCTTTTAAAAAACCTGTTTAAGCCCAGTTACCGGTAAATGGGAATTTCCATTCCTTTCAACTGGAACTTATACCAGATGGCAATGCTATTACTTAACATACTTTTTTTTTTGCTCAAACCTTTATGCATATTTAACACAGAGATTTTTCTGTGCAAACTTCTGGAACTAAATTTGGACATCTAGCAACACCAGAATTACAAAATATTAGAAGTGGGTCAAAGATGTGATTCCCAGTCTGGAATGATGAAGGGTCTACATATGGAGAACTGACAAGCTTCAAGTCTTGCACAATCTTAGAGCATCTATCATGAAACCATCCATCCAGGAGAGGCGTGTGGTTATATCAACTGAACAAAAAAAATGTTAGTAAAACCTTTATGTGGTTGCAGGTAAATGGCAATCAGTCTCTCTACTTATCCAGATGATATTCTTAAAATAATACTGTTACAGCAATCCCCAATGGATTGTTGATGTTATCATAACAAAGCAATGACCACACTAAGTACAAATGCCATTCAGCCACATTTGGACTTATCATGAGCTTGTTTTGTGATGGTTCCAGACTACTAATACCCTTAAGCTTTAGGCTCTCAGGAAGACTTTATTTTTGGAAGAAGAATCTTTCCTGTAAATGAGTTCCAATAATTCCAACAAATGTCCTTTTTTAAAAAAACAACCAGATACAGTGTGCTGCATTGTTTGATCTAAAAAAGACCATTGTTGCTATGACTCAGTACTCTGAAAAAGCTGTTTTTGAATAATGTAACTACAGCAAAAGCACACCCAGATTCCAGTTATAAGACAAAATGTAGAACCCACTGAACGGCGCTCATCTATCAGACAAGTGCATTGCATTACTTGAGATAATTTATGTGGACTAAAGAAGCTTCTCGGATGAGAAGTGAAATGTCTTCAAAGAAAAACAAGAAATTCCAGTTGCCTCTTGAAAAAAGCACCTTTGGGACAACCATGACTGAGAATCTCCATAGAATGTCCTCATCTATATATATAAAAACAGTTGTGTGTGTGTATGTTCCAGAATAACTCTGGAACGCCTCGAGGAATTTCAACCAAACTTGGTGCACAGATGACTTATTATCTGGAAACAAATACTGTGGGATAAGACACCCCTGAAATCCCTTGGAGTGTGTGTTCTGTTAAAATACAGCCTCTTGTGCCTTAAAGTGGCTTCTACTGTACTGCTGTAAAATGACTTCTACTGTGCAGTGCAGTGGAGTTGCCATGGTAACAGCTTCACAGTACTCCAGAAGGGGGCTCCCGCTGATAAGGGAGAAAATCCAACATTAGAAATTACATTTGGTTTGGACATTTTCCCCCTATAAATAAATCCCTGGCAATGCCGGGTTATCGACTAGTTATAAATAATTTATTTAAAGACTTCAATGAGGAACTTTTTCCTGCCACCTGCCCTTATTTGTATCATACATGGGTTTCCTGAACTCTGCTTTGTTTGGCAAGCAAAAGTAATTATTGTAAAAACAAAAAGCAAGGAAAACTTTACTCTCAATTTACTATGATCAATTTTGAAAGAGGCACCATGACTTTCATTGAGCAAGAAATACAATATTTAAAATGTAATTCTATATGTACAGGGAACTGGGGGGGAAAGGCTTTTTAACCCCCTTGTTATCCTACTTCTCACATCTTCTACAAAGACTCAGCTCTTTGGAGAAGGATATAATGCAGGGCAGGGTAAAAGAAAGGGAAGAAGAAGACAACTAACAACATTATAGATGGACACAGTCATAGGGACACTGAGTGCACTATTGGGAGACCAGGCTAGGGACAGAAGCTGTTCTGCCAATGGGATGCCTGAGAAATAGCGCCTATAAATTTTGGGTTTGGCCAATCTGGAACTGTGCCGCCTGCGGTTCGATCTAAGCATAGTACACACAATTGTCTGCTACAATGTCTTGCCTGTCAACAACTTCTTCAGCTTCAACCACAATAATACATGGGAAAACAATGGATACAAACTCAAGGTAAACCGCTCCAAACTCAATTGCAGAAAATACAATTTCAGCAACAGAGCGGTCAATGNGGAACCGGTTCTAAACGGCACTGTAGATTTGTGGAACCTCTTCTATAGAAGAGGTTAGAACTGGCAGGAACCCATCCCTGTGTATGGCATAATGATACAATGACCTATATGCCTTTATTCCCTTAGTCCCAGTTCCCCTTCAGTTTTCTCTGATTCCTTCCCATCTTTTTTAGCAGGTTCTGGAATTTCTGTCCAAGGACCACCTGGACGTCCTGGATCACCTGGGCCTAAAGGAGACAAAGGTTTGTGCAAAGAGAGGCGGCTCTTCCCACAGACCCCTTTATCAGAGTCTTGAATGCCAAATGGTAGAGCCTGGTGCTTCTGGTACTGTGTGGGTATTCTCATTCGAAGTTGACTGAAGTTTAAAAAAAAATAATGTTTAAAATGATATAAATAATTCTAGATTCTCATTTGAGAATCTCATTTGACTCCTATTTTTCCCCAATAAGGCAATAAAAATTGTTCTATCCTGCTGAACAGTAATAGTGTTATATAAACAAAGGGTGAGTTACATACTGGGCCATTTCATTCTTCCCATTAATTTTTTTAGGTGATGCAGGTGTACCAGGAGCCCCTGGAATCCCTGGTGGAGGTAAGGAAGCCTATTTTATTTAATATATACACATTTGCTACAATGATAAGATATTCTGCAAGGGTAAATATAATTGGAGTTTAATTTCTCTGAGAACTTTGTAGGTGAATAACAGCTCCATACATCGGTACCAGGAAAAACTTTCCTGAAATTGAACTGCCCATATTCTTAATCTATCGTGCCTTTAAAAAAGTGGTGGGGCTATTTTAGCACAATAGCTGTAATAAAATTGAAACACTTTCAAAAGCTCAGAAACAACAGCTTGCTGTATAGAAAACTCTTGTCCAGAAGTGAACTAAATAAGCACTAGAATTAGAGATTCAAATTCATGAGTATGTTCTTACTGGCATGGGTGGAAGAAAGTCTGTGCTCAAATAAACATTGCAAATCAGACTTAGATTTTCTTCATGTAATTGATCAGATTCAGATTAACCAGGAAGAGGAGCAAAGGGCTGATGCTCTCCACTGGTGCACTAACATGCCCAAATCTTTTCCCTGTGAATGTTTTCTTTTTGTCCCTTTATTTCCATGAGAACTTTAGATAGGGTGGGTAGGGGAAATGTATTTTATTATTTATTATTACATTTATTTGCTGCCCATCGCATTGTGGGTCTATTCTGGGCAACTTACAACAGTAGACATATAATTATAAAAATGTAAATATGACAATGAAACAATAAAAATAATGAAAGTACAGCAATATGAATTAAAAGATGGGTGTGGAGGAGTAGGGAGGGAGTGGAGGAAATCCAATAAGGAGAACTTCAAAAGCAGTGGTGGGATACGACCAGTATGCCCCGGTATGGGCGTACCGGTGCCTGCTGGGAGCACCAGGTACTGTTCTGGTATAGTGCTCCGGAGGGCCCATCTGCCCACCCATCCTCCTTAATGGTATTTGAGCCGATTGGGGCTTCCGCGCATGCGCATGGAGTGTACAGCACCTGCACGATGCTCCGCTCAGCAGCTGGAGCATCATGGGCAGTAAGTACGCATGCGCACACTGTGCGTGTATATGTGGTGGACGCCCGGCCCCATTGCAACGTACCGGTTGCACCGGGATCCGGAACCCACCACTGTTCGAAAGGTATTATAAGTAAAGTAATTTTTTTTTAACAGATGGATCCAGAATTTCTCAGGGCCCTCCAGGTCCTCCAGGTCCTCCTGGAGCTCCAGGAGTTGGAATTAGTTCAATGCAAGAGATCCAACAGTATGTCGCTGAGTACCTACAGAGTGAGTATAAATGCCCAAAACTTTAACCTTAGACTGTCTACTGTTGACCTCACTCCATTCCTAAGAAGTCTTTAAGCGCACCAGCATGCCTACCTTCTCTGTCCTAATATTCCCTTGTATTTGTATTCATTTCATGTATACATAATCATGTTTATACTTATATCTGTTATCTAATTCATGCTTGATGAAATAATATTGAACACCTTGAGTTCAAGCTCAATTTTGACCACTTTCCTAAAGGATAAAAAAATGATAGTTTACAACTGCAGGGAGCAAGCTGTTCAGAGGTGGATTTCAAATCCTGTTGCTACCGGTTCGCTCGTGCATGAACCTCCCGCCGCCACCACTACTGGTTCGGCTGATCTGGGCCAATCTGGGAGCAACCCACCTCTGAAGCTTTTCTAAAGTGTGAAGATCAAACCTGAGAATATCATTCCCTGGCTTCCAACCTCCTGCGTGCCTTAAGCCCTGAGTATCCTCTTCTGGCTAGCTTGTGTGCAGTGGGCAGATAGTGCCTGGAAAAAGGGCACCCAGAAATTGCATATGATATGTATGATATCAGAGTGGTAATATTATGCACTGCAATGTTTGAAAATGAGGATGGGATGAGATTAGATCTAACATGGTCCACCCTTCTATATTTCAAAAGGAAAAAACCCTCAACATTCTATTTGTCACAGATAGCATATGAATAGAAACACCCTTTCTTGTTTTCATTTGCTCTTTACAAGGAAAATTTAAATGGGGAGGGGAGAATAACATTTTAAAAATATGACTTAATCCCTGAAGTCTGAGAATTGCCGTAAAGAATTTTACGCCCTTTATTACTACTTCATTTAATATAAAGCATGAAATGGCTCGAAGCTTTTCGCAATTTCCAACTCATAGACAACACTTTCCACGTGTAAGTTTCCAGTTTTCTTTTGACAAGGAAGAGAGAAATAACCAAGAAAAAAATTGTTTCCAAGTTTCTGTTTTAAAGTATCATTTTATCATGTTTCCTTTCCTAATTAGCAATTAGATTATACCTTAGCTGCCAAGATTTCACTGTGAGATATGTATAACTTAAAGTACAGAAATGTTTTCCACGTGCACAACAGGGATAATGATCCATTCACTTAATTGGTCTTGATATATGATTCTTCCCAAGTAAGTGAGAAAAATATAAATTGATCTTCCTCTTACTTCGGTATCTCATAGATGTCTGCACACACCCATTTGGCATGGCTAATAGTCAGAGTTGGATCGGTTTAACAATAAAAGGCCTCATGTTGAAAAAAGATGAACTGCATTTATATGCTGCATAAAGCATAAGTGAAAATAGCATGTTAGGAACTTAGAATCTGGATTCCTAAATGCTCTCCAGTCAAGTATTTCTTGAATCTGAGGTAGCGGCTAATTATATAAGAATGCTGTGGAAAATTATCTTTAGAATTTCCCTAGATTATGCTGATATATTTCCAAGAGAACCTGGAGATCATGGCACTAACCCATCTCTGTAGTGATTTAACTTTGGTTTTTTAACATTTATTAGGTGATAGTATTGGCCGTTACCTGATTGGACCACAAGGCCCACCTGGTCCTCCAGGACCTCCAGGAATCACCATTGGTGCTGAATCTTTGGACTATGGTGAATTGGCCCATCGTGTTATGAGCTACCTATCCAGTAAGGCCCATATTTTTTTTATACTGAGTTTCCATTTCTTTAGTTATTCTTCATATTTGCACATGAAAATACAGAACAGATCTGTCTGGGATATATAAATTATTTGGACACTGCTACCACACTGAAGTTGAGTGGCTTGCTTCTTTTCAATGCCTGCTGCACAGTGTAAATTTATCAGGAATAGGAAATAATTTTAATGTGTTGAATAGATTGTGTTACCACACTGATGCACTTCTATCAGATATTTTAGAACCTGTTTTCTCATCATCATCTGTTTTCTTTGTTATATGTTGGAAATAATTTGTTTTAGTTTCTTTGTGAATTTACAATTTCTGTTTTTGAATATTTTTTTCTTTCTCCAGCTTCCAGTTCCTCATCTTCTCTATCTTCATTCTCCTCATCACTGTCTTATGAAAATCTTCTTGCCATGCTGCAGAGTAAGTAAATACTCTAAGACTAGTTATCCATGCCATGTTTTATTTTAAATAAGTACATATGTCTCCTTTTAAACTCTGTGGTATTAATTACTGCAGCATGAAATAATCTCCAAATGGATGTTGAGTTCACACAAATAACTTTTATTTGGTTCAGAAAAATTCAGTAAAATAGAAGTTACAGTATTCACCAAATTTTCAATGAAGAGAACAGGAAATATGCACAAATGTTGGATATATGAGAAACAAAATTAAACATACTGTATTTATTAAGTTTAAAGGAACATCATGTTTCACATTCCTTTGTTCCATGCTAAAGAATATCAAGCTACCTTATGTATAACTAATTAGTACTAATAAATCTAATAAAACTAGAATTATTGGAGAAAACATTTATAGAAGTTGAAAAATATAAAGTGTGTTAAAAATAGCTTGGAAGCTACCCAGAAATATTGCTGGTTTGGGAAAGACCAAAAATTCAGAAAAATAAACATTGCCTTTTTTTAAATCCATTTCTTAGGAGAGGACATTCGATCATATCTTACTGGACCTCGAGGTCCCCCAGGTCCTGCTGGGCCACCTGGACTTGGAGGAGATAGTTTAGCTTTGTCATTGGACTATGATGAGTTAACAAGACGTGTTATCAGCTACATGACAAGTAATGTCTTCTTTTATAACAAGCTTTATAAGTAAGCATAGCGATTCCATTGCATAGGTGAATTTCTCAATGATACACCATGAAAGATAAATTGAATGCTCTGTACTGTTCATTGTAATCCTATTAGAAAAGTCGATTGCCAGATACTCTGTAGGAATGTAATAATATCCCAACCAATTGTTGCTGCTCTATATCTGTTATGGCATCAGTTTCCCTCACTATAATGAAGTTGTCTTAGTGTAGCCAACATTGTGGAAACTATTTCGAGTTAGTTTGTAATATTCCCGGTCTGAACCAGTAGGAACCCACCACTGTACAAGTTCTGAAAACAAGCCATTCCACTGGTTAATTGTTCTCATTGTTAGGAAATTTCTGCTTAATTCTAGGTTGCTTCTCTCCTTGATTAATTTCCATCCATTGTTTCTTTTCTTGCCTTCTGGTGCTTTGGAAAATAGGTTGACCTCTTCATCTTTGTGGCAGCCCCTCAAATATTGGAACGCTGTGATCGTGTCATCCCTAGTCCTTCTTTTCATT